AGATTTTGTTTTCAAATTCTCATCGTGCTCGCTACGCTCGGCTATGAACTATCAGCCGCGGCAGTCAATCTACTACTTTTCTGCCTAGTAAAACAAATAACTATTGTCGAACGATTTGACCACAATATGCCCGTGCAAAATCATGGAAACGTTCATCGGTATTTTGTTCGATATTTTTTTAACGGTTTGGTCGAAGTGTGCCGTACAAAATGAAAAGCTACAACTACTTGTAGTGTTTTTCCTGATCTTTCTGATTCTGATGAGAGTTTTTCAAAAATACGATCCAGATCGAAATTGTGACATTTATAAAGGAAATGAATTTCCCAAGTCCGGCTCTGGAATTTTTCTCCATATAGTAGGCCATCTCATGGAGTGTAAATTGCTGATGAATTTTAGGCGATAACATATGGAGACGTTGTCGTTCATCGAACTTTCGCCCGAATAACAAATATTCCCCTGTATTTCTGTTACGGATAGGCAAAAAATATTTTTTCACGTATATAATCAGGCCCCTTGACTTATTGCTTATCCGCCGTTAGGCTATGACTGGTTATTAGTCATGACTCACCCTGTACAAGAAAACTGTGCGATTTGCTTATCGAGCGTAATGATATCAAGTCACCTTGACTTGCTTATCCGCCGTTAGGCTATGGCTGGTTATTAGTCATGACTCGCCCTGTATAAGAAAACTGTGCGATTTGCTTACCGAGCGTAATGAGCTACTTATGGAGGCTTCATTTCGAATGTTCATCCTTCTATAGTGGGCGTAGGTAAGAATAGTTATTGTTATTTGAACTAATTCGTGTAATAATGAAGGGGGAACGTTGGGTCTTGTATCAGGGCCGTGTTTTCGGCTTGCTATACGTCCCTGATAAAATCCTACAACAAACATATACTTATAGTCCAGTCAAAACAAGGTTCAACCTCCTGAAAAATCCGAAAGTTTCGAAACATTGCACTCCTATTTAAAGGTACCTAGGGATGAAGTACCAAAAGTCCTCATGAATATGAGGCGAGCTCTAGCGACAATTAGCGGAAACAGGGAACTTTTTGGATTTTTGTTAATATCACGAGAACCGTTGGTCGGAGGTGAAGGTTCATTATATACAATAATATACATAATTGAAGCTTAATAAATTTGCAAGAAATAACCTTATACACTTTTCTTGTACTCCTAATGGTTATCGAGTTAAAGGGCGGTAAAAGATAGCGTTTTTTATAAAGTCACGCTGGCGCTGGTACAATATGGCATTTCTAATAAGATTTGACTGGTTCACCAACTTCTCTGAGGATTGAGGAGATAAACTTCACAGCTTTGTTCAAAAAGAGAGACATGATGAATATATTAATAAGTGAAATACAAGAACAAAAAAAAGCTGAGGATATTCCAAGGGAAACTCGAAAACTGTGCAGAAAAATCGATCAACTCTTCATAGTAGATATTAAGGCCCTGCAATCTGCTCATCTTGGTCAGCTATCGAACTTGCTGGCTGAAAAGAAGTAACTATGCATGAGATGATGATGTGAGAGAACCATTATATAAATAAGAACATGAAAATAGAAGAAAGTAGGTGAGCGCGCAGTAAAACAATGTATGAACATGACGACCGATTTATGCATACTCTATGGCAAGGTTCATTTCACCTGACTTCTGGTTAAGCGTCAGCAAACACAGTGTTTTGATCTTCAAGTACCAAACATTCGGTTTTTGTTTTTAGCGCTGGATGCTCTGTTTCAAGATTCATAATATCGGAATAATCAGTCATCTAAGTCTTCTTCGATTGTGGAAGTAACACCATTCAAACATTCGGCATGGCAGTTGTGACAAATGCTTGTACACATTATACCTGACTTTCGGCAGCCACATATCTGTTCCCACATCCACTTGTACATTTGCAACAAATGAGGTTGAGGACAGCTTCAGGTGCTGCTGGATCCTCTGTTGTCACAAGGATCAGCCGATCGCTTGCCAACTTCCAACCCCACTGTGCAGGAGGTAGTTCATTCCCAAGCCAGAATTGAATTTGGTAGTATACTCGAATGCATACTGCCTTGCTGCCCCCTCTGTGGGCGGCAGAATAGAAAGGTTGGGTTTAGCATTGGATATAGATTTGGTGAAAGCATTGAAGCGGTGCATGTTAAGAGAACCTTTGCTTCTTGGGCGCATTGAACAATGCCAAGAATATTTTGTTTTCAGCAGCAGCTACAGCCTCACGGGATGAAATTGGGCTGGTAAATATATCAACAATACCTCGCAGTACAGCTTGCTTCTTGAACAATTTGAAACAGGAAAGTTTGCCTTTTCGATATGCAGCCGAAGTCGTATCGCATGCACAGGAAGTATGCGGTCCTTCATTCCCAAAGTTTGCAATTGCTGGCTTGACTGTGCTTGAATATACTTTCCTTCCCACTTTGCCATGGCTTGGTTTCACAAATAATGTGTTTTGTTCAGTCGGAGTTCAGGCCATGATCGAGGAGAATAATAAGATCTACATCTTCACCGACTATTGATGCTATACTTTGTCACAAGTGAAGGATTTCACGGGTGCTACTTGGACGATCAATGTATCAGCATCACGACTGGATGCTTGTTCTGTTCCAACACGGTACCATGGCTGTTAAGGGTAGTTATGAGGAATGAAATCAGTCTAGATTTATTCGTCTCGTTAGAAAGAAAATCATCCTGTTTGAGTGTTACTACTGTGTTCTCTCCAAAGTTCAACTGCATGACTCTTTAGTTCTGTACCTTCGGATCTGTTTGGCACTCTTTGTACTGTATGGGGCGGCTGAATAACCATCAAGCACCACCTTGCAGCTGTTGCCACCATAATGCTTGATAACATAGGCTACATGACACTATGACAGATGGTTGATATTGTTGGAGAATCTTTGGGCCACACCATGTCCCAATCAGCCAAAGTACGTCTTAAAGGCGTCTTTAAGACGTACATGTCGGGACATAAGTACGTCTTAAATACGTACATATTACGCCCAAGAGACGTCTTTGAGACGTCTTTAAAACGTACATTTTCCACTAATATGTACGTTTTTAAGACGTCTTTTTTAGGTGTTTTTGGTCCATGACCTCAAATTGAATTGATCTTTCAAATTACGGAAAAATCACATAGTTTCAGTTGATTTTCACCTGTGCACTGAAGTTAGCAACAAGTGCAGACAAGCAAAAAAAAAAAGGGAAATAAAACGACTTCAAACGGTAGACACAAGCGGTCACCCATTCAAGTACTTACCGCGCTCTTTGTTGCTTGACTTCGATGATTATACCATATTCACTTCTTCTGTTACTCTGTTTGTTCTATATATCACATAACAAGCTTTTACTTAGTTTAACATGTCCTTGTGTCTGTTTGTAATCAAAACGTGCAAGTTAAATTTGACTCACTTTAAATCGTCCGATTGATTTGAAATTTGGCAAGTAAATATTATTCCGGTGACAATTCGTTGTGATATTATTATTGAATGGAAAAAACAGAATGGCGGATCCAATATGGCGGACGATGTGGCATATGGTTTTCTGATTATGGTCTGATCTGATTCAAAATTGGCATCTGAAGGATTTCGGGATCAGAGATTATAATTCCTTTTGTCGAAAATGAAAAATCCAAGATGTCGGCTTCAAAATGGCGGACGAGTTTTGTGATTATAGTCCGATTTTATTCAAAATTGATTACTATGGACTTTTTTGTAAAAATTCGAGAATCTAACACGAAGGCTCCAAAATGTCGGACGAAGAAATTCAAAAACATCACTTTTGTTGAAAATAAGAAAAAACTGAACAATTGAAAATAAAAAACGTGAAGAGATGACATTTTGTTTTTCTTCAGAAAATAACTTACATTATTGTTCTATAAGTCGAATTGACGTACTGGAATGTACGTCTTTCAGACGTCTTTTATACGACATGGGAGGAACGACGTGGATACGACCTAAAATGTACGTCTTGAAGACGTAAATTCGTGTACGTCTTTAAGATGTACATGGATTTACATCTTAAAGACGTACTTTATACGTCCCTGGACGTAAAGACGTAAGTAAGTCGTAAGATGTACGTCTTTAAGATGTCTGGTGCTGATTGGGGTGTATGTAATGTGTTTAGTGAGCCTCCATTCAAAACAATGTCAAAATAGACAAGGTTTATTTCTTCTTTCATTGGAGTAAAGGCATCGTACAAGGTAGTTTCTCATCTTCCGCATTCCTGCCTCCCCAAATAAAGGCAATGGGTACGGGGCAAGACCATGCTGTGAGTAGAACTTCAAATCCTCATCACTCTGCATGTTGATGGCAATCCTCTGAAAGATTGTGAAATGGTTGATCTCCTGCACACTTTCACCGTGAACTCGGATTGAATTTGACATGGTTGCCAAAGGGAATTCTCGATCTTTTAGTGATAGCTTAACTTTAGAAAAAGGTTGTCCTACTGTCAGAAGAAGGAAAACAACTTTCAAACCAACGTGGAGCAAAGGGCGGGAACCTACACAAACCGAATTAACCGTTGGTTGTTTTTTAACCATATTGCGCTTTAAACGCAACGGTTTTCGTGATATTAACGAAAAACCAAAGAAAGTGCCCTGTTTTCGCTTATTGCCACTAGAGCTTGCATCATATTCATGAGGACTTCTGGTATATTCATCCCTAGGTACCCATAAATCAATGTGCAAAGTTTCAAGACTTCCGATTTCTCAAGAGGTTGGGTCATTTCTGGGGTTTTTTTGGCTGGACTATTACCAATCTGATTAATAAGCCTGTTTCAAAAAACCCTGAAGCTATATTGCAGTTAGTTAGTTTTTATTAATTTCAATGAATCCGGTGCTCATGGATCAAAATATGTGTATTAGGGAAATAAAATATGCGGGAAAAAATTATTTCGTAAATTACCTAGCAGTTTCGTAAATTTCTCAGTAATTTCGTAAATTTCTAAGAGTGGTCGCGTACCTATATTATTTATGTTTCAGTACATTTGAAACCCCAACTTTTTTTTATAGGTAGTACATATAAATGGTCCAGATCAGAACTTCGTAGTGAAACAACTGAAAGGATGTGACGTATTATGTCCACTGAACAAGTTCCAGGAGCTCACTAAAGATGTCGTTCCTGTGAACTACACTAGAGAATGTGAATCAACAAAAAATCTAGATGCATGAATCGATGTGAATTTTGGCTATTTTTTGTGAAACTCACGATACCGCAAACAAAATGTTCATGGCCTGCTTCGTTTTTGAGATACAGGGTGAAATTGACACCCCTCTGTGTTATCTCCTTGGACCGATCTATTGAAAGAACTATAGAGAAAGGTAGTGAAATGAATGTGAAACTTTCTGTTAGATCCTGTTAATTTCTAAACTTTCTGTAACATTACTGAGAGTTTCAGATGTAATGTTGAAAAATTCGAATTAAAAATTATGGACCCTTTTATAAGTAGAATAGGGGAAGGTCATGATAATCAAGTGAAACTTTCAGTAAAGTTACTGAAAATACAAATCCTATCGCTTCCTGCAGCGAGTTCCTTCTCAGCTAGCCCACTAAACATGCAATGTTACAAAATATTACCACAATATAATGTAAAGCTTCCTTCCGTAATATGAATATTCAATATTGTATCAATTTTGCTGCTATATCCGTATTGACAATATAACAGAAAAACTTACTGACAAATTGTTTGTAAGTTACAAAATGACCCTTTCAATTAAGTTTCAATAGCAATATTGCATCAACTATAAATTCTCATTGAAATTGCAACATTACATGGATCAAATACGAACAATATCAGTGCAACGTTACACATGGAATTTTCAATTGTAATGTTGCATCAACATTGATACTTCATTGAGTTTATAAATAACATGAGGTATAACTACAAACAATATTGCTACAACTTATGGGATGCAACACATATTTGAATAAAAAATGTAATATAGCTGAAATATACAAAATGCTACATTGGGTATCGATCGAGAGACGCCATTTCATGAAATGCCTACGCGCAGTCGCAAACTTGCATTCGACAAACGCCAGTATCTTAGTCGCCATATTTGTTCGTGTTTGGCTTCGGTAACAGGTATTTTGTTGTTGTACAGGTCCAAATGGCAAATGATACCAATAAATAAAATACTTTGGAACATAAATTGAGGTATAAGTGGTGATCTGGCGATATGTGATATTAGGCAGTTGGGAAGGTTTTGAATCGCAGTTAGCAGTTGATGGTTAGGTAAGTCAACATCAGTTATTCTAGGTTAGGTATCATTTTACAAATTCATACACCGTTTATTGATCTAAGCGGATTGTTCGATCGACAAAAAATAACATAGAATGATTATAATTATTCGTTATTCGTATACCTATTCAAAGTTATAGGACAACCTCGTGAATTCAGTCAGTGAATGCAGTCAAAGTGAATCAAAGTGTACCTACTCTCTTATTGTTTCTGTTTGAGCTTTCGGGTCTTTATCGGCCCTTTATCAGGAACTCTATAAAACATTACAAATTATTTGAAATCAATCCTGATTATTACTGAAACACTTAGGGACATTGAGGTTTTGTTTAACCTCATAGTGATAGTAGAATCATTGCTCGAATCATCAAATCTTATCTCTCATTTTACTGCACTGCTTAGCTGTTGTAGAAAAAACTTTGAGCTCGCACTCACAATTCATTCTAAAACAACCTCAAATAAAGTTCTTCAGAATATTTTCTAGATGCTGAGAAATATTCATATTATCTTCAGTGTATATTATGAGGATACTCTCAGCATACCTTGGAAAATGAATATTTCCAGAATCAAGTAAACAATCCTCAACGGTATACGGTATTATTGGTACATGATAATACACCACAAACCTTTGATGACCTTCATTTTGTAACTATACGTTGTGGTAACTTGGTTGATGGTCCTCCCGGGCAGTCCTGTTGAATCCTAGCGCTATCGCTACTACCTATGAATCTCTATATGAGAATATTGTTAGCTACTCGTATTTGTACCTAAAATTATGTAGCGAGCGTGGGCGAGATGTAAGCTAACAAACTTATTATTTTCAGCTAAACTATCCATTTCTGAAAACTCCTCTGCAGCAGGTCGATTTTATTTCCGATTTGCCACATTTGAAAGTAAGAATCATATATATACAGGGTGAACCACGTTTAAGTTAAGACGTCCGCGGCAATTTTTTCAATTGGAAACAATAATAATAAATATAAAGATACATTCAATTTTTGAAATATTCATGGAAATCTGAATTTGAAAATATATTACACATAGGGTTTGTATACAGTGTGTCCGTTAAATTGAGTCATCTCGCGTGAAGAAAATAAAGTAGCCAATGACTAGCCATGCAATCAATGTACTATTATAACCATACAATTCCTTGCTGAGGAATCTCCCAAAATAGGTCGATTTTTATTTCAAATTACCAACAATATTGAGAAAAAATTTAATATACAGGGTGATTCAAGTTTGAGTTACAACGTCCACGACCATTTTTTCAAAGGAACACCCTATAAATTATTCGATTCTTGGAGTCTCTATTTAAAGCTGGATTCAAAAATATATGAGTCTGTATACAGTGCGTTCGTTGAATTAAGTTCTTTTGCGAAGTTGCGAATAAATTTGATGAAAATTAAAAAAACATGTTTTTTTTTCAGAGAATAATGCTCGAAGCCGTAGAATTTTATTTTCATTCAAGCTTTATCTCATATTAAATCAATATATACAGAATGATTCGTGTAGGAGAAATTACGTCATCTATATATATTTTAACCCTTTCGGTCACCATGGTCGTTAAAACGAACATGTACTTTTCGTGCCAATAGTAAATTGAGGCGACACCTATCATTCCATTTATACACCACATCAGACGCGAGGGACCTTTATATCCAATGACTGATATAGGTAGCACTATATCTCGGGATATTATACAAGTTTCGCTTATTTACCTTCTGTGTGTACAGTGAGTCAGCTGTTATTGTTCATAAACACATTTCTCGTGTTTGTTTCGATAAAATAGTAAGTGAATTTGAGTTCAAAAATTCATTTTTCAATGCCTCATATGTTCATTATAATATATAAAAAACGAAATGATCGAATATCATATTTTTTCATACACTAATTCGAGAAAAATCATATGTACGTTAGAACGAACATGGTGACTCGATGAAGTGGGCCATTTACCAATATTTGATGGAAGTGGGGATGGAGCAAAGTGCAAAAATGGAGCTTGCCTCGAAAAAACACATTTTAATTGTATGAAATGTAGTGTACATCTATGTTTTACTCGTGATCGTAATTATTTCAAGGATTACCATATGAAATAAACCACAATGTTGTAGCTATTCATTCCCTCTCCTTCTCGTATAGAGTCACCATGTTCGTTGAAACGAACATGATTTTTTTTAGAAAAATCAAGGCCGTACGGACTTCAAAAAATTCTCAAAAATCATATAAAAAATCACTTCAACCCCCAATTTCACGAAAAATTTTTAACTGAAAAAATGAAAAGTCGTGACTGAAAGGGTTAATGGCGATCCAATTTTACGAGAGAACTGAATTTAACGAACGCCCTGTATACAAACCCTTTGTGCGATATACATTTGATTACGAAAATTCAATAATATATGTACATATATCCGTTTGAAAAATGTGTCGTGTACGTCATAATACAAACCTGTATCATCCTGTATATTTGATGATTCCTCCGTATAAATGACGAATTAGAAATAAAAGCTGTTTTCTCAGAAATATATAAGATAGACAGATATTGGATAATAATGAATTTATCCACTACTTCACGAGAGCATCTAATTTATTGGACGCACTTACCTATACAATCCACATGATTGTGTTAAACATTTTCGAATTCCGCTTCCCATGGTTATTCCAAAGATTGAGTAATATATATATAAGGTGCTCTATTCAAAAAAATTGTCGTTATGGTCATAACTCAAACGTGGATCATCATGTATGTATATTCAATTTTTCTCATAAATATATGGCGAATTGAAAATGAAAATCGACCGTTTTCAGCAGATTCCTCAAAAATGCATAATTTGGCTGAAAATAAATTTGTTCATCAGTGCTCACGAAAACACTCTATATACAAACACAAATTTAGTACGTACAATTAACAAACGATGGAAAAGTAAGAAAGCGACTGATTTTTCTTATTTGGTCGAATATACGACTTTGTAGGGACGTCATTAAGACGTCCAATATTGAACGTCAATAAGACGTCATGAAATATGACGTCATTTTTAGGTCCTTCTGAAGTCGAGGACGTCATTGACCAATATAATGACCTGAAAAAGACGTCATTATGACGTCATTCCACTAAACTGTGCTACCTGGGATCTAAAATAGTCAACAGGATTATTAAAACTAGTGAAATCAATATGAAACTTTCAGTTTACCGCCAAGCTTTCTGAAACACCATTCAAAGTTACATATGTTATGAAAATTTCAAATGGAAAATGATGGACTCACCTATTAATGAAAAAAAAACAAGGAATGTTATATTATTCATCAACTTTTCAGTAACATTACTGAAAGATTCAAATGTAATGTACAAACTTTTCAAACAAAATGATGGACTTCCATTTGTAGGACAATTGAAAAATTAATTCCAGTAACATTACCTACTGAAGGTTTCAAATGTACCCAGACAACACAAGTGAATCCATTGGACAACCAATGGATGTCCAGCTATGGATACCCTGGACATCCATTGGATGGACGGCATTGTCCAGTATTTGTCCAATGGACATCCATTTTGGATAATACATGTCCAACAGTTTGGACATACATTGGAAGTCCATTGGCTTTCCATTAGACATCTGATGGATTTCCATTGGACATCCAATATTTGTCCTTTCCATTGGAAGTCTATTGGATACTCATCAGACATCCAATGGATTCCCAATGAAGATCCATTGTATGTCCATTACATTTGAAATACCATTGTATACACATCAGAACTCTAATGGATGTCTACCAAAAATCCAACTTATGTCCATTCCATAAGTTTATTGGATACTCATCAGGAATACATTGGATTTCCATTGGATATCCAAATTTTGTCCAGCCAGAACGTAGAAATTAAAAAAAAGTTGTCCATTGAGGGGATCGAACTCCGGACCCCGCTCTCGTGGATCACAA